GGAAGGACTACAGATCTCTTCAAGAAAATGAGAGTAAGCAAGGGAGTGTTCCATGCGAAGCTGGCCATGATAAAGGATAAAAATGGTAGGGACCTAACAGAAGCTAGAAGAGATTAGGAAAAGATGGCAAGAATACACAGAAGAACTATGCAAGAAAGACCTCAATGTCCTTGCCAACCACGACAGTTTAATCACTGACCTCGAGCCAGACATCCTGGAATGTGAAGTTAAATGGGACTTAGAAAGCATTACTAACAACAAAGCTAGTGGAGGTGATGGTATCCCTGCTGAGCTATTCAAAGTCTTAAAAGATGATGCTGTTAAAGTGCTGCACTCAATTTGCCAGCAAATTTGGAAAATGCAACAGTGGCCACAGGATTGGAAAAGGTCAGTATACATCCCAATCCCAAAGAAGGGCAATGCCGAGGAATGTTCAAACTATCGCACAATTGCATTCATATCACACGCTAGCAAGGTCATGCTCAAGATCGTACAAGCTAGGCTTCAACAGTACATGGATAGAGAGCTGCCAGAAGTACAAGCTGGGTTTCGAAGAGGAAGAGGAACTAGAGATCAAATTGCCAACATTCGCTGGATTATGGAGAAAGCAAGAGAGTACCAGAAAAACATCTACTTCTGCTTCATTGACTATGCTAAAGCCTTTGATTGTGTGGATCACAACAAACTATGGCAGGTCCTTAAAGAGATGGGAGTACCAGACCACCTCACACCAAAGAGGAACAACAACAACAACAACAGCGGCTACCATACACCTAATCCGAGCTCTCCGCATCCCCCTCCACACCCCTGTCCTCGGCCTGCATCGGGTCCAGAGGAATGGCCTGATGCAGGCCTCCACCTCTCTCAGGTGGGGCTGAGAGAGCTCGTTCAAGAATTGCTCTTGAGAGAACAGCTCTGAAAGAACTTGTGACTGACCCAAGGTCACACCAGCAGCTGCATTTGGAGGAATGGTGTATCAAGCCTGGTTCTCCCAGATTAGAGTCCGCCCACACTCTTAACCACTACACCAAACTGGCTTTCAAAAGGTATAGCCCGAAGAAAGGGTTAACCTTTGTGACTGAAAGAGCAGAGAGGGAGGGGGGAATGGAGGGGGAAACTGCCAAGATGGGCAGTGGATGGTTAAAAAAAAGAAACAGGAAAAAAGGGAGAGGAGAGCCAGTTTGTTGTTGTGGTTAAATGCAGGGACTCTAATCTGGGAGAACCGGGTTTGATTCCCCACTCCTCCACTTGCACCTGCTGAATGACCTTGGGCAAGCCGTAGTTCTGTCAGAGCTGTCCTTGAAAAAGAGCCGTTTCAGTCAGAGCTCTCCCAGCCCCACCTACCTCACAGGGTGTCTGTTGTGGGGAGGGGAAGGGAAAGGAGTTTGTAAGCTGCTCTGAGACTCCCTTGGGAAGTGAAGGGCCATGGGGTATGAATCCAATCTCTTCTCTTCTTCTTCTTCTTTGTCTCCTTCTCCTTCTATTATGAACCCTGAGAGAGTGGAAGGCTCACAGCAGTGTGGGAATAACATGGTAACGTCTGCCTAATGTTCTCCCTTACGAAGTCTATCGTTTATATTCAACCAAAGTACCAATAGAAACTATACACTTTCACCTTGTTCTCTTTAAGTAAAGTTGTGTTCTCCATTTGAATTTCCCTGTATTGAATGTCTCTGACAAGAGCTACTCCAAAGAAGCACTACCAAAACCATTTTATACCACCCTAGTTAACACAAAACCCTTTTAGACTGGAGCCTTGAGCACATCTTGACTCTCATTTTTTATATATCCCCCTTTTTATTGTGCTTCTCATAAACAACGAAAAACCAGGGGAACACGGTCTGAGAGGACAGAGCAAACCAAAATAAAATACTGTGAGAAATTGATAATATTGTATAGTAAACACATTATACATCCAAAGCATTAAGTACCCATAATGTTTAAACATAATAATACCTTTGTAAATACCAGATCATAAATAGGCAAAATTCATAGAAGTCCATTCCAATGACTAGGGTACAAGATTACAGAGGCACAATTACTGAATCATTTTTTATTAATTCACAATTTGTGTTCTAGCAACTGTGTTTTCATTGTCCTAATAAAACTTCCTATAAGGGCTCAATTACAAGAACAGAAAATTGCAGAAATTATTCTCCTTTATTTACAGTTATAAAATTTCTTTATTTAAAATTTGTAACCATTAGGAAAAATCTACCTCTGCACTTTCCCACACTAGCCTGCAGATGGTGCAATTACTTCATATAAATGTACCCTAGTCATTGGAATAAACTTAGTCTATTTATGGTTTGGTATTAATAGGGTTTTTTTGTGTATAAACTTTATTGGTACTTGATGCTTTGTACATATAATGTGTATATTATATAATATTATAAATTGATCAAGGTATTTTTTGTTTGTTTGTACTGTAGTTCTCATGTCATCAGGGTTCACCGTTGAACTACACTACTAATACCATCTTATACTAGCCTAGTTAACCAGTGCCTAAAATAGAAGTGACCGCAAAAAATATCAGCAAATGTTACAATCAGCTTTTCTGCTGTTTCGGAGGAATTCCCATCTGTTTTTTGCAAGAGCTCTAGATTTAGTGGCTTGTTTAATTCGACAGTGTTTGGACTCTCTAAGAGCATAAAGCAGAATCGGAATATATTGGATGGTCTCTCTGGTAGGGGTGTGCATTTGGTAAATCCAAACTGAAAAATCCTGAAAAATGCATTTTTGGCATTTTTGGGGGTTTTCAAGAAGCCAAAACACAATCTCTGATCTGATTTGACTGCCGAATACAGAAGGCCAACTCAAAACCCAAAATATTTGGCTTTTATTCAGCTTTTTTCAGCATTACCAAACATAGGCGTGGGGGTTGTTTAAACTTCAAGGGGCTGCATTTACCTTCCCTTTTCCACTGTTTCTGTCTGTTTCCCGCCCTTTGCTCGTCTTTGCTCTGTAGTGTAGTTGTAGGATTAGTTACCAGAACTGCCATATTGTCTGCAAAGAGACTAAGCTTGATCTGGTTTGCTGCTATTGGGATTCCTTTAATGTTTTGGTGCATTTGTATTGCCTGTGCCAAGGGCTCTGTAGCAATGGCAAATAGCAATGGTGACAGTGGGCAACCTTGCCTTGTACTGTACCTCTAGATAGTTGAAAGGTTTCCGAAGTAGAGTTATTAATCCTAAACTGTGCGGTAGATGACATATATAGGGTGTGTACAGCTCTTTTGAAATTGTGGCCAAAACCCAAAGTTTCTAGTACCTGTTCTAAGTAGCTTGGTTCCACTTTGTCAAAGGCGAGGGAAGCCGTGCAGTGGTGGCGGTGGTCGTAGCGGCGGAAGCCACAAGTCGAGCACCTACAGTGCAGGTGTTTACCCACTATCCTCCAGAGATTGGCAAGGAGAACAACTTGCAGTGCTACGCTGACAGATTCCATCCTCCTAAAATCAGCATCGAGCTTCTAAAGAATAGCAAGCCAATGGAGAGCCAGGAGAGCGACCTTTCTTTTCACCAGGACTGGGCCTTCCATCAGCTTGTCTACGCCAACATCACTATCGATGGGAAGACCGAGTACGCCTGCAAGGTGGGGCATGAAACCGTTCGTGAACTCCAAACTCACAAACTCGAATGGGAGTTCTGAGCAGCTGTCCTGAGGAAAAGAAGATTGGAAGACTTTTGCCATTTGAGATGTATTCCAGCCATGCTATCCTGAACTACTTTTGTTCCTTCTTTGAAATTTCTGCTTTGGGGGAAAAATATTTCACCCTATTTTGCAATTTGAACTTGAACAGTAATTCCACCTTGTGTTGCTTTTGTTTAACTTCCTTTATTAAAATCTTCCAGATGTTTGTTTGGATTTTACTGGTGAAGGGAAATATGCTGACAAAAGTTGTATGTTTGAATGCAACCACTTTCTTATCTGGCATGTGTACTGCTGTTGTGATCTGCCCTGAGCCACTTGGGAAAGGGCAGAATATAAGATGAAATAAATAAATAAAAATAAATGATGAATCTATTTTATGATGTTGGCAATATTGTATAGTGTTTATTATTTTTCTTCTATTATCAGATAGATCTCTATTTGGAATGAACACAGATTGATGATGGTGTATTATGGGGGGGTCAATTATTTTATTTAGTCTTGCTATTAGTGTCGCGGTTAAGGTTTTATCATCTGCGTTGAGCAAGGAGATGGGTCTGTATGAATTTGCATCTGAAAGGTCTCTATCTTTTTTGGGGGGATAACTATGATTTTTGCTCTAGTCCAGTGGGTTGATTTACTTTAACTTTATTAAATTTTATGACAAGAATCTGCATTTCTGATTTTGTATTAGTGGTATGCCCACTGACCGTCACCAGGGGCCAGCAAATACCTGAGAGCTTGACTCTGTAAGAACAATGGGGACTAGGCTCTGTTAGCCCAGCTGCTTTATATTGGGCTATTTCTGGACTGTGGTATATGAATAAAACATGATATAAAGGGTTAATAAAAGAGACTGTGTAATAAAAGGTCACATTGAGGGCACCTGGAAGAAAAAGATGCCAGCTAATGATGATAATCTGCTGACCCAATATCTTTCCTGAGGTGCTCCAGTGTCTCCAGCTTATCATGTGTGTGCAAACACAGGTTTACAGCAAACACAGAAAACTCATTAGTTAGCCCAGACTCCAGGTCTCCAGATGAGAGGCTTATTCCGAATTCCCCCTCCGCCAGACTACAAGAGAGTTCCAGTCCACATGAAGAATCCACATGGCCAGTGATGAGTCAGCTCCTTTTGTTCCTACTTTGAAATTACTGCTTTGGGGAAAAAATATTGCACCCTATTTTGCAATTTGAACTTGAACAGTAATTCTGCCTTGTGTTGCTTTTGTTTAACTTCCTTCATTAAAATCTTCCAGATGTTTGTTTGGATTTTACTGGTGAAGGGAAATATACAACCACTTTCTTATCTGGTATGTATACTGCTGTTGTGATCCGCCCTGAGCCATTTGGGGGAGGGCGGAATATAAGCTGAAATAAATAAATAAATAAATAAATAAATAAATAAATATGATGAATCTATTTTATAATGTTGGCAATATTGTATAGTGTTTATTATTTTTCTGGTATTATCAGATAGATCTCTATTTGGAATGAACCCGGATTGATCAGGGTGTATTGTGGGGGGTCAATTATTTTATTTAGTCCTGCTATTAGTGTTATGGTGAAGATTTTATCATCTGCGTTGAGCAAGGAAACGGGTCTGTATGAATTTGGATCTGACGGGTCTCTATCTTTTTTTGGGATAACTGATTTTTGCTCTACTCCAGTGGGTTGATTTACTTTAACTTTATTAAATTTTATGACAAGAATCCACATTTCTGATTTTGTATTAGTAAGAGTTAAGAAAATGTTATAAGATTATTGCACACTGCTGGAGCTATACAATTGTTATTTTAGCATCGAAGGAAAACCCAAACCCCTTTTAGACTGGAGCCTTCAGCACATTTTTATTTTTCAAATACTCCCTCTGCTACTGTGCTTCTCATATCATCGGGGTTCACAGTTTTGAAACATCTAATACTCTTTTCATAGATAATGTCTAAAAGACTCTTGTTTTAGTTTGCTTTCTAATGTGAAGGCACAACCAACATTGATCAGACTGCTCATTCCAAGTACAAATGCATCCCCTATAATGCACTTCTTAATGAACAATTGAATAATAGCCTCTGTAAGGATCAAGGTGGATGTAAGGCTGGCTTATGAATATACTCTGTATTAACTTGCTTTTTAACTCAATTCTGACATATCCGTTCTCCAGTGTACCCTTTTTAAAAGGCATGTAAAAAGAATGAGAAATGTCTGGTTTTCATTATCCCCAGAACTGTGTATTATTAGACTAGCCAGACCTTGTGAAAGCTCAGAAACTAAGCAGGGCCGGTAGGTGGATGGGAGACCCCCACCAAGGAAGGGTGGGGCTTCTATGCAAAGGGAGGCAGTGGCAAACTACCTTTGCTCATCTCTTGCCTTGAAAACCTCATGAGGTGGAACTTCATCAGGGTCACCGAGAGTTGGTTGTGACTCAATGGCACACTTTACCTTTTAGAATTCTGGATTGAGCAGTTACGCAAAGACATCAAAACGACTAATAAAATTATTTATCAGGCAATAGTAATGGTTTAGCAATCAGGAACATCACCGATCTAAATTCCATCTTGAGGAGGAATCTGTCGAGCTCTGTCAAGGAGAGAATTACAGAAAGAGGAGAAATTGGCAGTAACAAAGGAGGCACTCCAATTGTTTATGATGAACTGCTGCAGGGAACAGCACAGAGCTTATATGGGTGGGGAACAAATGATATCCCAACGATAGGATCTGCATTGAGTTCCTTCACTCCTTCTGGCAGCTTGAAAGTGAATGCCCTCAGCAGGTTGGTGAGGAAGATGAAGATCTCAATCCTTGCCAGCTGCTCTCCCAGGCAGACGCGGGCCCCTGCAAAGGAAACAAGGGAAGGCAACATGTGAGGAATCTATTAACAAGTATTGTCTAGAATGTATCACCTAGGTGAACATTTGGCTTGGACTTTGGTAAAATAGCACGAGCTGAATGGATGAAGATTTCCTTCTATCCTCAAAAGTAGCTCCTCCTTCTGTTGCTGCAACACTAAGTTCTCCACACCACATTTCATTGCCAAGCTGCTCACTTCCTGTTTTTCTGCCCCCCCATCCAACAAAAGACAAGAGAACCAACACAAGAGTAGGACAACACTGAACTGCAGTCAAATGATTCTCCCTGCAAGAAGTTCTCACCTTGTCCACTATCTGGCTATCAAATCATTCATCAAACCACTGGAGAGTGGACTAGGGGAAAAATGCAGTGATCCTGAAAAATTGGGTGGACCATGGAGCTGGCCTAGTGTGATGAATGGGCAAAAGTCCCACCCCTTTTTATACACAACCCTATCTCCAGTGCACATTTATAGCCTGTAAAAATATTGAATGAATTACTGAAGGTTTCCTTGCATATGCCAGTATGCCTACCTTTGGAAGCAAAGAGTCAGTTCGCAAAGGGGATAGTGACAATTTCAAATAAGCTCCATACCCCACTAGGCTCTCCACCGATAACTCCAAATCCCCATCTTTCACAGCAAGGGATATGATTTGTGTATTCATAGAATGTTTGGTCAGGAATATGATTGTTGCAACCATTATTGGGCATCAATGCAAGCCTTTTTGGGTTTCAGAGGGGATCCATGTTGGTTTGCAGTAGAATAACTAGATTTGAGTCTAGTAGCACTTTAGAGGCCAACAAGATTTTGGGGTGTAGCTTTCAATAATCAAACCCCCCTGTACCATATCGGACAAGGGGTGCTTTGCCTCTCAAAAACTCATACCCCAAAATTGGCTTGAAGCTCAACATCAAAAAAAGTAAGATTATGGCATCCGGCCCCATCACTCCTTGGCAAAAAGAAGGGGAAGTCGTGGAAGTAGTGACAGACTTCACGTTCCTGGGATCCCAGATCATCCCAGACTGTGACAGCAGCCATGAAATTCAAAGATGCCTGCTCCTTGGGAGGACAGCGATGGCGAACCTAAACAGCATGATAAAAAGTAGAGACATCACCCTGCCAACAAAACTGCACATGGTCAAAGCAGTGGTTTTCCCGGTAGTCATGCATGGCTGCGAGAGTTGGAGTATAAGGAAGGCCGAGCGCCGAATAATAGATTCTTTTGAACTATGGTGCTGGAGAAGACTCTTGAGAGTCCCTTGGACTGAAAGAAGATCAAATCAGTCAATCCTAAAAGAAATCAACCCTGACTGTTCCCTGGAAGGCCAGATAATGAAACTGAAGCTCAAATACTTTCGCCACCCAATGAGAAGGGAGCACTCACTGGAGAAGACCCTGATGCTAGGAAAGATTGAAGGTCAAAGAAGACGGGGATGGCAAAGGATGAGATGGTTAGATAGTGTCATAGATGCAACGAACATGAAATTGAGCAAACGTCAGAGGACGGCGGAAGACAGGAGGGCCTGGCAAGATCTTGTCCATGGGGTCGCGAAGAGTCGGACTCGACCGTGCGACTGAACAACAACAAAAGGTGCTACTAGAATCAAATCATGTTTTGGAGGGAAACGACAGAGCTTCCTGCTCTACAAAAGCTTAGTTCAGAGAAGGGATGCAGGGTCTACTCTAAGACCAGGCTCTAGACTGGAAGACCGTTACAAGCTTGGCTGGTTGGCTTAGACTGAGCCAACTGAAACTGAATCTGACAAAGACGGAGGTCCTGTGCTTGAGTCGGGGCGGACCGGGGGTAGGGATCCCACTTCCAACCTTTGATGGGGTGCCACTGGTGCCGGCGCCGGAGGTTAGGAGCTTGGGAGTGCTCTTGGATGCCAGTTTGGTGTAGTGGTTAAGTGTGTGGACTCTAATCTGGGAGAACCAGGTTTGATTCCCCACTACTCCACTTGCCCCTGCTGATGTGACCTTGGATCAGTCACAAGCTCTGGCACAGCTGTCCTTGAAAAAGGGCAGTTTGTGTCAGAGTTCTCTCAGCCCCACCCACCTCATAGGGTGTCTGTTGTGGGGAGAGGAAAGGAGTTTGTAAGCCGCTCTGAGACACCAAGGGAAGGGTGGGGTATAAATCCAATCACTTCTTCTT